ACAGTTGACGAAATTATCCTTTTGACTAGCACTAGATAACAATCTTTACTCTCTTCAAGATTCTTCCTTATCACAAGGAAAGGTGAAGGGACAAAACAGGATTCCACTCTGTGTCAGAAGCAAAAAATATACATTCCCATCTGTCCAACACCAGAGCAGGGAATAAAGCCAAGAAAAGGCTCTAGATTGATACTACAGTTTCATAAGAGAGGAAGAAGGGGAGAGACGTACCATGATCCTTTGCCAGGAAGAAGACTTTTGGTTGATAAAATACCCTTGTGTCACTAACAGCCAAGCATAATTTGCTCTAAACAACAACTAGAATTGGTTTCTAATTTTTTAGTAATAAATTCTAGCCTCACATATGTAAATATGTAAAAATGGTATCATGCCAATGATTTTCCCAACAATGCTACACTCAGCAGCAATCAAATGATGCTTGATATTTTCTCTCCAATTCCCTTCACATAGGATACCATCCTCAAATAATTTCATATAGCTTTAAATAATATTTCCATTTGTAGAAATCCGATGCACGATAGTATTTTTGTACTAGCACCAAATTATAATAGTTAGGCAAATGATAAACTAGGATTGCTTTTACTGATCTGCTGTTCCTTGTTTCCATTCATTGAAAACAGCTACAAAACCTCTTAGACAAACTGAACCCTTTGACAAGTTATGCAACATGGATTGCTATTCTGTTGCCCTCCCACTTTCAGTGGCAACTATAGAACAGCACTACTGGACCTTCAGACTACATCTTCCAGTTGAAATGGAAAAGGCAGCATACATCCTGGCTTAAGCCAAGACTAAAACCTCAATGTAATGCAGAAATATATAAGGAGATGGCATTTGAAGTACAGCAACTATGTTCTTCACTGCACCACTAAAAGTGATTCTATAACTTGTCACCATACCTGGAATGCAGTTGAGTCTTAAAAAAAAAAAAAAAAAAAAAAAAAAAAACACCTACATAAGGGAAAAATGTTTATCAGAAGTATCATTAACTATGAAGTAGACCTCTAAGGAAAGTAATCAGAAAGCCCATGAGCACTCTGGCCTTCAACAACTAAGTGGAAACATTTCCAATTATCAGGAAAAAGCCAATTAAAATAAAACAATCTAAAATATCAATATTTGATCTGAGAATTATATTTCCCAGAAACTATTGTTAATATTAAACTGTTGACCTAACATGCTTGCAGGCGTTATAGATGCCACAGTTGTTGCTCCACTGCCTTTAGATGTACAGCAATTTGCACTAGCTAGTAACCAGCATGACATTAGACAAGCTTCCTATTGGTAAGGGTCTTTAAACTCTTGCTTTAACTATAACCAGAAACAAGATCAAGTTATATCAACAAAAGAAGCCTTATTCAGTCTGTCCATTACAGGAATTTAAAGAGACTGAGGTCCCTAGACAAAAAACAGCACAAACAGGTGGCAAATTCAAATGAACATTACCAAGTGAGTGATAAAAGATGAAAATAGCAGGTTCTTCTCGGTTCAGCCAAGCATCCCATCTTAAAACCATTTGAAACCTCAAACATTAAGTAAATATTTATAGCAAAGGTTGCGCAGGCACAGACACAAGTTCAGAGTAAATGTGGCAGGTTTGAAAAGACAGATAATTTGTCAGAGGATGCAGGAGCAAACACTGTGCTGACCTACATCAGCAAAGTACAAGTATCCTTGTCTTTCCCTCAGTTCATCTGACTGATTTAGGTTGCTTGATATCACACTTGAAAGACAAAAAGTAAAATCTAAGTTATAAAATCTTTCAAATTATCAGTTTTGCCTGAGTTTTTATCCGCTGAGTTACTTCACAGCACACTAGACAAGGTAATAATTTATGATAATTATATGAAAATACACAATTAATATTCATCACCTCTCATTTCTCATCACTTTAGATGATCAGTAATGCAGAGGAGAAATGCTGTCAGATTTCTAATTGCTTTGTAATGGGCCTGAAATAGGGAAATCGTTCAAGACAAACAATCTGTCACTTGTCTGTTACCTTAACTATCTATCACTTAAAAAACCCTCATTAAATACATTGCTAATGAACGACAAAAGACTGTACTCAGTGTGCCCAGATGTACCTTTTTAAACAATATTGTAAATTGCTTAAATAATTCCCAAGACGTTTTCAATCATTTTTTGAGGAAATTTAATGGAAAACATATATTTTCAATGCACGTTACATCTCATTTGTTCACATCATTATGACATTTAGTCTATCATATCCCATCTCCCAGGAGACAAAACTTTGTTTTTCTCTCTACTGCTGACAAATCTGACCCAATCAAGGCAAATTCTAGAATAACTTACCGTTCAACTCCCTGCAACCTTTCTCATAACAAATGAACAAAAATACATTCATGTGCTGGGTTGTTTTTATTTTTTATGTCTACTTTACAAAGATTTTTCTTAATCACTGGATTAAAAAAGAAGTCTAACACTGTCCAAAGTTGGACAAATTATCTCTCACAGACAAAACAATTCTTCCCAAGAGACAGAATTCAGAATCCTCACTTAGCCCTTTCTTTAGAGTCAGCTATCTACTACAGTTCTGATGGAAAAATTCATTTGAGGAAAAAAATTAAAATCTTCTGGATGTATTCAGTGGATCAGAATGAAAAAAGCAGGTCATGGGTGAGACCCCACCAGGAAATACTGTAATATTAACTGCCACATTAACTAATAACCCCTACTAATTGCAACATAAAAAAAAATACTTAAAATATCTACCTGTGCAAGACTTCAACATGCTCAATTTAGCATATTTATGAAATAAAACACAGATAATTAGTGCTTGTTTGTGTAGGTATGTTTTAAAGGGCAAAAGGTACATATGAACTGGTAGCAGGAATTAGAAGCCAGGTGCATTGAAATTTAGGATTAAGAACAATTTTTAACAGAAGATGATTAGCTGTTGCAACAGACTTTTCCAAGTGAGAAAATGTATCTTAATATCGATAATCAGGCAGAATACAATGGGCTCGGAACAGCCCTGCAATAAATAGAGAACAGTAAGGGACTGAGTGCTTTCTTTGGTGTTATTCACATGAATCCTATTTCTTCTTGGTGATAAAATAAAGAGAAAAGCAGAGAAAAATATGCTTTAAGAAAGAAAAAAAACACCAACATGAATAAAATAAGTACAGGGGAGCTAACAAACTTTTTCCAGAATAGTGCTTAGTGTGAAGAACATCAGAACAGTGTGTGCTGAAGATAACGCACACTTAGCATATTGCTCACTTAGTTTTGTTTTGCCAGCAGAAGGGAGGAAAGCAGCAAAGCCTATGGCTGGGTTTAGCTCCATAGCAACTTAGAGGCCAGGAGCTACCAAAAGGAACTGGTCAGAATTTTGCCCTGCTCTTCCTTTCTCACACCCCATTTTGATTCCAGCAAATCTTGAAGTAACTTGATTTTGATCTCTCTAGTAATGAAAGATGATCAGATTGGAGACTGATCAGCAGCTGCAAAAGGCACTAAGACCAGAGAGATTAACAGTACCTCAAAACTTAACATTGTAGTTTCAGAAACGAGGAGAGAGTAAAACTTGGAGAAACCAAGACACAATGATTGTAGAATCATAGAATCACAAGGTTGGAAACAACCTGCAAGATCATCTAGCCCAGCCATCCTCCCATCACCACTGCTACCACAAGCACTAAACCGTATCTCGCAGCTCCTCATCCAGACCTCTTGAGCACTGCCAGGGATGGCGACTCCACCACCTCCCTGTGCAGCCATTCCAGTGCCTGACCACTCTGAGAGAAAAAGTTCTTCCTTATGCCTAACCTAAATCTCCTCTGGTACAACTTGCAGCCATTGCCTCGGGTCCTGTTTGTTGCTTGGGAGGCCAAACTTCCCTTCATGAAGTTACAGAGTGCAACAAGGTCTCCCCTGAGCCTCTTCTTCTCCAGACTAAACAATCCCTCAGCCACTTGTCATAAGACTTGTGCCCCAGACCCCTTACAGTTATTACTGTATTATTTCACTGTACTATCAGGCAAGGCTAAATAATGCTGCAGTGGTTACTTTTCTTAGTTTGTACATATGAAAGTTCATGAACAGCAAATTTTTACATTAAAACAGAAAAGAAAGACTGGTTTCCCTCCAAAGTTTTTCCACTGGCCTCAGTAACCATTCCTTAACATCTATAATTAATTGCACATCAAACAACTAACTACAGCCAACCGCAGTGTCAGATAAAAACGCTTCTAATTTCTCAAATAACTCTGAGTTTAAACTACATTGCCATCTGGATACCAGCATCAATCCCGAAACGAATTCACATGGTAAAATCGTGACAAAATTAAGTGATATTTCTCTCATCCACCCAGAAAACCTCTCGCTGTCCTGCAGCCCAGGTTGGAGCCCTGTCTCCACACACTGCTGAGGGACGCAGGGAAGGAGCAACCTCTGCAGAGCTCCCATTCAACCGCCGCTTTGCTCACACCTCCCATAGGCCGGGGAAGGTGGCAGAAACTGTGCGTTTAGAAGATTGGTGAAGCGTGAATTGAGTTTGTACGGACAATTATCGGTAAAAAAAGATTACGAAGAGTAAGATCAGAGCACCGACCTAAGCTTATAGCCAAGGGAGCGTCTTTCCGTGCTTACAGCCCTATTCGTTTCCACGAGCAGGAGGTGCCCAACCCTCCCCTTCGGGACGGCGCGTGCTGAGCCCTCAGAGCAGAGCGCCGGGGGGGGGGGGGGGGGGGGGCACCTCAGCGAACCTCCGCCCTCGCGGCAGCAGGGCGAGAAGGGCAGCGCGGGGGGACCCGAGGCGGACAGCCAGGCCCGCAGGCGGAGCGGCGATCGGACGGCCGTTCCCGAGACGGGGCCGGGCGCTGGGGGGCGGCTGGAGCCGCTACTTAGGGAGCACGCCGCCGCCTCAGCAGCGCCGTCGTCGCCATGGAGACAGCGTCGGGCCCGGCCGGCACGCCGCTTCCTGCCGGTGCCTCGCCACTGGGGCCCGGGCGGAAACACGCGAGGCCCCGCCGGCGCTGCCCATCGCAACGCCGAAGCGGCGAGCGGAGGTTAGGTTTCTCACCGGACGACTGATGCCGGGGTTCGGCAGGCTGCGCGGTGAGGCCGGCGACGCGGGGCAGGTGGGTGCGCGCTGCGCTGCTCCTCGCCGTGCTGTGAGGGGCGGTCGGTCTCGCGCCGGCGGTCGCGGTGGGCTCTCGCGCCGCTGCTGCGCTGCAGAATGGCGGGAAGGGGCGGAATGGCGGGAAGGGTCTCAGCCTGCGGCGTTACGGCCGGGGAGCCTCGTTGTTTCGGCAGTTAAATAAACAAACGAACGAGAGCCTCTTCTTCCTATATTCAGATAGCAAGTTCTTTCCCTGCTGAGGCACAGCGTCACTTCCCCAGATCAGGTCCCCCTGATCAATCGGCTGCGCGCATTGCCCGAAACAGAGATAGCTGCAAAACAGCAGCTGAGACGCGGGGTCTTCTCTGAGAGTCTGTGTGCAACTGCAGCCACAGAGCGCGCACAGAGCGAGGGCAGGGAGCAGCGCCTGAGTGCTCTAAGCGAGCAATATGCTAAAGTGTGCGTTATCTTCGTGCGAATAACGCCACCGGAAGCACGCAGTCCCTTACTGTTCTCTATTTATTGCAGGGCTGTTCCGAGTCCAGTGTATTCTGCCTAATTATCGATATTAAGAGATTACATTTCCTCACTTGCAAAAGTCTGCTGCAACAGCTAATCATCCTCTGCTAAAAATTATTCTTAATCCTAAATTTCAATGCGCCTGGCTTCTAATTCCTGCTACCAGTTCATATGTACCTTTTGCCCTTTGCAGCAGTGTTTTAAACATACCTACACAAACAAGCACTAATTATCCTTTTTGTCCTGCAGGCTGTTACCAGCTGCCTGTAGTTCCTCCCTCCTCTCTCTTCTTAACTTCCCTTTTCAAATTGTACTTAGAATGATTGCCTTTTCTTACACAGCACTAAGCAAATCGAGGCCAGCCAGAGATGGCCGTGGAGCAGACAAGAGGAAAGGACTGGTACCAAATCCTGGGCGCGCAGCCATCAGACAGCCCAGCAGAACTGAAGCAGAAATACCAAAGGCTGGCTTTATTAGTAAGTATCGTTCTGCTACTTGTGCGGAATTAAGTTTTAGAAACAAAGTAAAAACTGCTGCTTTGATGCAGAAATTGAGTGTGTCCTCACTGATGACACGAAGCTGGGGATTGTCTCAATCTCCCTGAGGGTAGGAAGGCCCTATAGATTCACCTGAATGGGATGAGGCCAGGGGGATGAAGTTCCACAAGTCCAAACGTCAGGTCCTGCACTTTGGTTACAACAAGCTCATGCTGTGCTACAAGCTTGGGGCATCCTGGCTCACATCAGAAATAGCGTTGTCAACCAGAGCAGGGAAGTGATTCTCCCTATGTGCTCAGCGCTGGTGAGGCTGCATCTCAGTTACTTTGTTTGGTGTTGGTCCTCTCAATACAAAAAAAACCAGACGTGTAAACCCTGGAACCCAGAGAAGGGCAGCAGGGATGTGCTCCAGACCCTTCACAAGTCTTAGGAACAGCTGAGGGAACAGGAACTGTTCAGTGTGGAGGAGGCTTAGGGGGAACTTACAGCTCTACAACTCCCTGAAAGGTTGTTATGATGAGGTGGAGGTCAGCCTCTTGTCCTCAGAAACAGCGACAGGACAAGAGGGAATGGCCTCAAGTTGTACTAAGGGAGGTTCAGGTTGGATATAAGAAAAGAGTTCTTCCTGATAGGCTGCAGTAGTAGAATGTATAGGATGAAAATTTGTGAATATCAATTTGGGTTTTATTTGAAGGCTTCTTGTGCGCTTTTTTAGAGTCATATTTTTAGTCATGCCTTAAGACATGAACTTAGTGTTCGTGTTTCCCATTCTCATGGTTTTCATATGTAGCAGACTCAGAGATCTGAGATCACTTCAAGTTAACTTGGTTCCTCTGTTTTAACCTCCCACATAATTCAGGCTTTATAATGAAGAGATTGTTTAGCCCACCTTTAAGAGCACAATAAGGCACATATATTTGATACTGTTTGGTTCAAATGGCCAAATTGATAGACTTGCAGAAGTCCCAGGATTTTTTAAGTTTAATTAAATTAATTTTTAAATTAAATTTCTAAACATAACAAAAAAATGGCAACCCAGAGAAGAAAGAAGGTGAGCAGACCTCGGTTTTTATATTCTTTTAGGTATGCGATTCTGTAAACTAGACTATTAGTGTTGGCAGGGCTATAGAGAGTATATGCACATCTAGTCTTGCTATATTTCTAGGTGAAAAGTTCTAGTGTAGAGGCTTTTCTTTAGAATCTGTGCATTTGTGGTCTAAATGGTCAGTGCTCTCTGAAAAGAGAGTGGGAAATGTTAGCAAACATTAAGGTTATTTTTTTCCTTTTTTATGCTGTTTAGCTCTAGAGGTTCTCCCCCCTCTGTAAATGCATGGTGCTAATAAATCAATTACTTCTACACATCCTGTAAGCCACTGGCTACAGGAGGGATAGGAAAGCACAACACATAGCACATGGTTCCTGTGTGAAAGTCACTGCATTGACCCAGAGTGTTTCATGATTTAAAATGTTAGAAGTTCATGAAAGAAAAGTCTGTGGTGGCATGTTAGCATGAAAACGCAGTCTCAGATCCAGAAACCAACAAGCTGTGGACTTCTGAATAAGGGTGGAACATACATATGGGAGCTGTTACTGTATTTTTGTCCTATCCTGATGCTATTCCCTAGGCATCCAGTGTTCATTAGTACTGTAGCACTAGTTGGACTTCTGTAATGCTATAATGGGATGGAAAGTACTGCAATAACGGCAGGATGGCAAAGTCTTTGCAACAAATGAGAATGAACCCGAATGCAGTAGCCATACATAACAAAACGCAAGGAAAGAGCTACTTACCTTTGGAAGGCCTCCAGTAGGTAGGGATCTCCTGCAAGAGATACCCTCACCTCCATTGGCAACCCTAAATGAGGTCTGGGAAGGGGCAGATCCTGGCTCCATCCCTTTCAGTCACTCAGGTACATTGCGTGCACCTGAGATCCCCTGGGTTGAGCCCGCCTTCACACCAGCTGCTCAATCACTGCTTCAAGCTGTGACTTAGCTTTTTCACTGCAACCTCTTATCTTACCTGCTGCGTCCTGTTCACGTGAAGTAATTCCCTTGCTCCCCAAAGAAGGCTTGCACTTAAGAGATCTTAATGGTTGTACACCTCTAAGTCATAGAATGTTAATTTATGGTTTTCTGAAGCTGCTACTGTACACAGTAGGAGCATTGCTGGAGGCAGAGGATGAGTCTGTGTGCAGGTGTTTCAGTTGTTTTTGGATATGGTGGTGGTAGAGAATTAGCAGAGCAACTCCACCTTAGAAAGCTAGGATGAATGGTGAGCACTGCCATGTACTGCCTGTTTAAAGATCTCTTGACAAATGCGTGTGGTCAGCGCCAGCTATCTTAAAATCAGAAAGTCTATAAAGCAACTAACATCTCGTATGCAAATTGCAATTAATATGACTTCTCTCGTGGAGAATATTCTGATCACAGATGCTCATTAGCGTCAAGCATAATAAATGTTGGAATTTATTTTTAAACATAATTCTGCTGTTAAAATAAAAATGGCAAGTGCCTACGATTTCTTCAGATGATCTTGAGTGTTTCATGTTGAATGTTTGTTTTTTGCTATCTGCTGTTTTGTCTGTTTGTCAACACACTGTGTACTTAGCATCCCGAATGAACAGGCGGATGTAAACTTCCAAAGCTGCAAAGAATTGGAGATCTTGCCATATGTCATCTAAAAGATAACTATATTTGCAGTGATACCTCAGGACTGACTTTAACAATACAAAGTAGTAGGCAAGTAAAAAATGTTGAATTACAGCTTGCAAGAACTATTTTGAAAGGGAAATTCTCTTTAAAGTGATTAATTTGTAAAATGTAACTTGTTTTTACCAATTCCAAAGGGTTGATGATGGAAATGGTTAATGAATCATAAAAAATGAAACCATGCAAACGCACCCTTCTTGAGTGAGCACATTTACTTACCATTCTGCCATCTTTTCGTTTGCTGTACTAACTTGCTTCATTTGGCCAAGTCCCCATGAATATTTAAGCAAATTATTTCACTGCAAACTCCGGATGATGTCTATTCTGTCTATAAGGAGAGTATTAATTGGATGCACAAAACAACACAGGTTTGACCTAAAAGTAGTGATTTTGTTGTTGTTATTACATTATTTCTTCTTACCGTCTAAACATTTAAGTAGAAGTTCATATTTACACAATATCCTTGCAACCATGAAACTTAAAATGCTGTAAAATTTTTGCACGCTCATTTGCCTGGCACCTGCACCATCTTAATGCTTCTTACTCTTTAATTAATAGCAGCCAGGAATGGCAGACTTTTGAGCATAAGACATGCATGCCACTAGCAATTTGATCATCAGGCTTTTTTAAGGAATGGAACTTAAATGTATGCTGGCTTGTACTTCATTGTCTTCTCTAGCACAAAGCTTCAGCCAGTGACTTTGAAAAAATATCCAATTAGAAATGTGTATTTTGTAACCAGCACAGCTCAGTGCCATGAGTCCATAATTGGCTGCCTTATATTCATTTCAAGAGGCTTTTTGAAGCATCAAAGATTTCGTGTTCTGGAATGAATCAAAACAGATTTTGAGAATTATTATGTTTAAAGATAAAAATCTTCATCTTTCATCTTCAGAATATACTGACTTTTTGAGATGCTATATATGTATGACATTCTCACCCGTAATTATATATATTGTAGTTTTAACAAGAAAAAATCATAAAAGGGTAAATGTTTTTAGGAGAGACAATGCCCACGTCCCTTTTCTGAGCATGTACAAAACTAGCAGAAGATAAAATCAGAGTGACAAAGAAGGAGAGGTTACAGAATCTTGCTGGTTGGCCCAGCGTTTTGTGGTCAAAGAATGGGTTGCCAGATTGTTTGCAAGTTTTTCTGTAGCTGCTCTGCATCTGAAAGCTGATTTTACAGAGAATAAAGTCACCAAACATAGAAGCTTTGTCTCGCTGAGAATCAGGTGTCTGTTCCTGTTGATGCTGATGATATTATAGGATACCTTTCAACTGGAAAAGAAATTATTGTGCAGGAAAATTATATGCTGCTGTTACAATGTATGCCCTAATCTTAAGGAAAATCCATGTAATTTGAGCAGGGAGCATGCAGGAAGCTCTTATTTTTAATATGGAAAGGAAATAAAATGTGCCACTTAACACACAGTGTTACAAGGATTATCTGTTTATCAGAAGGGGTGGTGTGTGTATATAAATACAAAGAAAGCGTTCAGATGATCACTTCATCTGTTTGAAGGAGTAGAAAATTTTAAAACAAAGAGCATTAAGCATAGGTGAGAACGACTGTCAGCAGCAAGAAAAAGAAAGGTCATCAATAGGAATCTAATTTAATGAAGCAAAATAATTTCAAGAATTGAGCTTGTGTAGAGGAAAGACAGCTATCTCTGGAGAGAAAAGATCTGTGGTGTCCTATCAGATCTATGGACACAGCTGAATTTTGCAATCACAAGAAAGGCAGAGGATGTCATATATTTGAAGTCAAAAAGCTGCTTGCATTCTTACTGTCTTAAAGTCCGTTACAAACTAAATTCAGTGGGAGGATGCACCTCCTGAGGAACTTTTCAGGCTGAGTTTAAGTCAAGAATTTGAATCTTACAAACTTCAAAATGTTTTCATTTTCATCAGCAGTCTCGTAACAATAATTTTCATAGTGAAAATTATGCAGCAATACCTACTGTGTTTTTCTTAACAGCCTTGAGGAAGACATTCTGTTAGTGTGCCTCGCTGTAGACTGACTGAAGTTAGTATTTAGATATCATAAAGTTTGTTGCAAAGGAATGCCTATTTGGCTCTCCTTTATTTTCAGCTGCTCTTCACATCTGATTTACTGTTTATAACCTTAATAAAATACAGGTGGATATTTTCTCAAGCTGGAACTTGAAGAATTGGTTATTAACTTATACAAGTATTTAACAGAGCCTCATTAGCAAATGCCTAGTTGAAACAGCTTGATTGGGTGGCTCCTGGTCATGCCAGTATTCCTGCTGCTCTTTCCAATCTGACAGCATTTGTTTAACTCATCCTTGTGGGTTTTTGTGTGTTTTTTTCTTCTTTTTTACACTAGAGGTCATAGCAGTATTCAGTATTAAGTCTGAAGAACAGGCATTTTCACCCTGTCAGTGATCACACTGCAGAAATAGAAACTTATTAATCTGAATGGTGTCCTGGATTCATTGCATGTATCACAACAGCACTTAAAAGCCAAGCATTGTGGAGATGCATGGTACCACTGCATGCAGAGACACAGACAGCCATGTCCAAGCAGAAGCTCTTGCTTGCTTAGTTGGTGTGGTGGGAGAGGTGATGTTGGCTGCAGCTCGGGCATCACCTGCTCACATTATGGTACTGACCAGGAAAACTGTTAGCCCTCATTTGGTTGGGCAGCTGGATAACCAAATGAAATGCAGTGATTAACAACTGACGGATCAGCACGCAAATGGAAGGTGCACACTGGCCACATCTCTTACAGGGCAAGGCTGAGAAAGCTGTCCTGACTTTGCAGCAGTGAGAGGTTCATGGATACAGGTGAAGAGAGAAGGGAACTGGATGTAGTGAAGTACCACAGCAGGAACGGGGGGATGTGACAATATTGGTAGGTAGTGCTTGAAGTACTCACTTGTCAGAGTGAGTGTCCAGCATGCTGCAGCTTACATGAAGCAGTGCCTCACTTTTTATTACTTTAATGTCATTTAGGAACACAGTTGGCCTTCCCTGCTGCAGGCGCTCACTGCTGGCTCGTGTCCCGCTTCTCGTCCACCAGGACCCCAAGTCCTTCTCCAGGGGGCTGCTCTTATTTCATAAGTTATTGATCATAGCAATAAATTAAAAATAGAATCCAAATATGTAATGTAACTATTATGGAAATGGGTAAAAGCAACACATTACTTCCTTCTTTTAGCTTTAAACAGCGGTCAGAGACTGGAACGGGCTTCCTAGCGGTGTGGTTGGTGCCCCTGCCTGTCAGTGTTCAAGGGGCATTCAGATAATGCCCTCAGTAACATGCTGTAACTTTTGGTGAGCCTGGAAGCAGTCAGACAGCTGGACTGCGTGGTGTTTGAAAGGCTCTTCCAAGTGAACTATTCTAAGTGTGCTCTGAATGTGTTAACTGTCCCATCCTTCCTGTTTTGTCTGTTGATCACAGCTACATTCTTGCCTCCCATTCAGCCCTTGAACTGATTTGCTGCAGGAGTGAATTCTCTACCTAAAAGGGCTGTCCTTAGGACACATTTTATATTATTGTAGTAGAAAAGTCCAAGTCCAGCTTTTTTTCTATAGTCTTGTCAGTCTTTTGGATATTTTACTCCAATCTTTTACTTTTCTGTATGTTAAAGTACCATTTCAAAGCTGAAAAATCAATAGTCAGATATTTTAAAAGCCTACCCTTTATTATTTATGCCAGTAAATTATTATTAACAACAAAATTCAGACCTAAAAATGTCCATTCTTAAAGAAGCTAAAGATGAACAAGTCAGAGCAGGATCTTAGCCAATTTTTTTTCTTTTCTTGACATTAAGTGGAAGATTCTCTATGTAGGTGTTTTGAGGAGAGGCTGACCAAGAGCTCTTCTTTTCAGAGGCAGCCATCTTCTTGCCAACAATCCACTAATAATTCCTACGAATACAGAAAAGCAAGGCAAAATACGGGTATGGTACTATTCTCTCAGTCTATCTATTGCTTCACTAACAGATATTATTGAAGCTCAAGTGAAGCAAACCTTGGATTATTCCTTTACAGCTGCTGATCTATTCTGGATAGTGATTTTACCTTTTCATCTACATCTCTGACTATTCTTTCATAAAATGTGGATATTCTGTCAAGACTAAGGCTGTATAGAGCGTTTAT